TAAACATTCTAAATATAGAATATTAGAGCAACAGTTTACAGTATTTGCAATACTACTGCAAAGTGATTTAATAAATATTTTTGCTTAAATGGGAGATATAACCCTCACCACAAAGCACATAAACAGATAGGTAGGTGCTAACTACAGCTGCTTTTAATAATAACAGTTCTTCAAATCCAAACTTTTTTTCAGCACTTAGCATTTAACAGCTTGCTATGTCTGTCTGTCAGAGACTGGAACCCAATTCATTTTAATGAAGGAATCAAGTCTTTTTTCCTGTACAGAGATACTTCTACTTTCTACAAGAACTTTTTTTTTTCTCCAAGTCAAGTTGTAAAACACTATGTAGTTGTCCTTGCTAAAGTTCCCTGTTTTCATCTGACTATTTTCTGCTAAGTACTGCTAAGCAATACCAAGCAACTCATTCCACCAAACTGCAATTTCTTTCACTGTTCAACACGTAACTCCACCCCACTGCCCACCTTAAAACAAATCACCCTCTCTCCAACCTAAAACTGACACAGCTGTTACAAAAATCTTGCTGTCTGCTGCAAAGACACTTCTTGCAGCAAGAAAGCTCAGGACAAGCACCATCACTTTCCCACCATTTATTTCAGAAAACAATTTTTGCCCCCTTTAAATCTAGCAGTTGACTTTACTCTGCTGGGAGTTTCTGACAATCTGCAAAACAGTTCTTCCACTATGACCAATTCTGAACAGTCAATATGTGAAAATTGTAGTGAAAATAGACCACTGCACAGAGATTTGTAGATGCTGAATAAAAGTATGCAAATATCCTGCTGCACTGCAGTGCAAGGTGAAGTTTCATGATCACTCTGCATTGATCTCAGTGTGTCCTGCTGCTGAGCAGAGTAAGAGCCCCCACTCTCAGCTTCCAGACATGTGTCCCTGCCTGACCCCCTGTGCAATACTGTGAGTGGGACAAGAAAACTGACCCAACTGAAAACAAATCACCTTTTCTCAGTGAGCTCATACTTCAGCTGGTTTAATGTTCCCTTCACCTTTTTTACAAGCAAAGACAGAACTAGGAAGTCCTAAACTATCTGCATGGCCACGGAATGTGGCTCTTGTTAGAGAGACTCTACAGAAGTATAAACACCTGGCTGCAAGTAAGGTGGGCAGGTATAAAGGTAAAATTCAAAGAACTGAAGAAAGACTTCTATTACTTAGAATGTTTAAGATAGTGAGTGAGAGAGCCAGAGTGAATTTTGTGTCCTCATATATATAGAAAACAGGTCAAAAAAGCTTTAGAGAAAGAGATTAATTAAAACCTTCTTTCAAAAGAAATATAGTATTGTAACAGAATAAAGTGTGATCTGTTTTGTAAATGACTTGTGCCCCTCTTTTTCTACCTCTCCACTTTGCAGGATACAACACTCGTTCCACCCCCACAAATAAATAAGAAAGAAAAACATCAGAGAAGATGACACTGAGTGTGTCTCAAGCCGGTGGTGAGAGAAACGGTGCCCTCCAGTGCTCCACACCATCCGTAGCAGCACAACCACTCCAGGGGAAGTGGCAAACAGCAGGAGATGAGGTTGGACATTTCAGATGTAGCTTGCTTGCTACAATAGAACTAGCATAATTCAACCCTGTAAACCTCCAGCTACCAGCCAGAAAGCAATAAAAATCTCTACAGATCATTTCACCTGCAGAAAATCCTTTCCAGATCTCCAAACTGGAGATCAGCCTCATCTTCAGGCCCACCAGAGACCACCTGGCTGTACTGCCAGGCAGCAAGCTGCATAATGCTTCTCTCATGAGCTTAAACGTAGTTAAGTACAGAAACTGGGGAAAATAGTGGGGAAAGGAGAAAGGGGCAGCACTGACAAGCAGGAGGAGGAGGATGGCCTGCACATGGGACACTGCTCCCATAACAACCAAAAGTAATGGTTTCCTGTACTCAAGGCTTTCTGTTGTCTCAGAGTGCTCACCTTGCCTGAGTGTGACTGAATTGAGTGCAGTTATCATGCAAGGCAGGAATCTCAACTGGCAAGAAAAAAAAATGGCTTTCCAGTGTACCTATTTGCCATTTTTTTTTTACTCTACTAATTTAGGACTGGTTTTCATTTTACTCCTGAACTAGTAAGAAATGAGCACCCTCCTTCACATATAATAAAACCATCCTTTTGAATAACGGTGTCTGCAAAACAAAACAGCATGCTCTTTGCCTGGTAATACACAATGCAACCACCAAAGCAAAGCCAGCAATCATTTCTCTCTAGCTGAGCTACAGGTCAATGAATGAAAATGAATGTAAACGATGTTTTAGCTCAAACTACTCACAAGCAACTCCTAAAGGTGTAAAGAATCCAGAAGTGCAGGCAGGGCAGTGGGACTTACAAGTGTTGTCAGCTTCATGTAGGAACTCAGGACACTAGACATCTCTCAAGGTTAGAACCTCAAGATTAAGCTCAAAATTTCTACAAAAGCTATATACCAGTTGTCTGGGTTTTCTTTTTTTTTTCTTTTTTTTTTTTTTAAATCTTTTAGTAAATACACCTTCATATCCCACTGTGTTAACCACACAGACAGTGTCAATGGCCATGACGCATCTTGAGATTCAGCTCACCACTTGACTATACAACTGGAATCATAAATGTCAGGATCTAGATCTTTCTGTGGCTATAAAGCCACAGTTGTCTCAATACCCTGTGACATCTTACACATACATATTTACTGATTACAACCCCAAGAAGTTACAGCCACAGAGCAGTTTCATTTTGTTGATACTGCCTGCCCACACATGGTCAAAGCAACGCATAGTTCAGGCATACTGGTGGATTTTATGTTTAATAAAAAGTTTAGTAAAGCAGCCTATGCTAAGCTTGATAAACTTTATCGTACCTGACTCACAGAGAACTGGGTCTCTTGGTTGGCTTTTAAACTTTAAAAAAATCCCTAGCCTTTTTTCTTTCTGCTCTCCTACAGAGTACGCTGGAGCAGCGTATGGGCCATTGCACTTGAATAGAGAAATTGGTCAGTGGAGTCACAGCCTATAAAGGGAAACCCAAGAATGTTCCCTTGTTTCCCTCACTTCATGCTTACTTTTGCAGAACATGACAAAACATGGTATCTTTAAAACCTTCTTTGCCCTATGTCCAATTTGGCTGAAACTGATCTTTTTTTGATACATCAGCTGTTTGCACAAATTCCATTTCCAAAGGAAATCAGTCTAAAAACAGCCAGAAAGACTTAAAAAAAAAAAAAAAAAAAAGGAAGTACAGGTAACTTATCAAATCAATAAACTCCATTGCATGTGCTACTCCTCCTTGACAGAATACGAAAGAAAGAGGAACAAGATGATGAATGATAGCTAGTTACACTTACTTTGGAACTACAGAGGTTACTAAGTTAACTGTGTTGGTGAGTCCAATGTAAGATCATCTGTATAGCAGCTTTCTTACAGGCTACGGAGGCTGGATCACGAGTGACTATCCTTTACTGCCAGAAACGTTTCAGGAGATGCATAAAAATCCAAATGGAAAAACCCAATACTTGTTATAAATAATAAAAAAAAATCCCTAACTCTTGAGTTTTCTCCCTCTCTTCATAAACTGAATATGTACATTGGAAGAAAAACAAACAAAAAAACCCAACTCAGGAGTAAAGAAAAAGGCCAGATATTTTAAATTGCTTCTCCTATTAATAGCACTTCCTGTTTTCCACTTTAGCCACACTTGTTTCTCCAAGTATTCTGCTTATCCAGCTGTAGGTTGTTAAGATTCTATCTTGCAGCTATTATGTCTCAGAGTAAATGCTTGGCTAGGCAATTTAGGGGTTTTTATCCTATTTAATATGGGAAGGTTTTGTGGCTTTCAAAACCAAGTAACACTATTTCCAGTCACAAGCAGATGCATCAAACCTGCAAAAACAGTAGCTTCACAGAACAGCTGAGGTTGAACAGTTCCTTCATATGCCCTGAAGTACAGGAGAGCATTTTACATGTATGTTTTACACAACATGCTCTTGAGATCACTTTGAAGTACACTGAATTTGAGAGGCATCTACACCCATATACACCTTATCCCACTAACAGTCAAATTAGGTTGCAAGCAAAGCATTAATGACAGAAACACTTTTATGATGTGATGTGTCCAATTAATCAAAGTCTCTCTTTAAGATGCAAGAAAAATGTCTCTGTGACATTAAGATGGTTACTTTTTAACTACATTTACTATAATGTGCTGTTACTTCCTGTTCCCTTATACTTTTTTTATTTCTTATACAATGACCTTAGAGATCAGTAAGAAGGTAGAGCTTGCAGAGCTCAAGCTGTGAAATTCAAACTTTACTGAGCCAGAGACCATTATCTATAGACACATGCTTCTCTGAGGCACTCTTGGTCTCATCATGGGCTGTACTACCTGGCTCCCATAAAGTGAGATGCATAAAACTGTGCACCTGCATGCTCATATGCAGTGATTTTTTTTCTAGTCTGTGGTAATTTAGCTCTACAGGATTTTAGGAAATAAATATGAGAACAGTGGATAACTACGGCTCAAGCAGTAAATGTCACAGATTGCAGCAGCATACATGAGGTCAAATTCAGTCTGCAAATTTGAAGTGCAAACTACAGAACTCAACTCAGTTCATAAAATAAATTTAATTCCTTCTGCTAGGCCTGGATTTTTCTAGTCCATAGTTCTATTTCCAGCCAGGAAAGATTAAATAGAAGCATCACCTATTCTTCAGATACTTGGTGATACATTTTTTTCCCCAGAACTCATTAAAATAAGAATAAGTTCTTCTCTGGTTAGTTAATTTGACACAATTGGAACTATGTTACACATGAAGCTGAAAAATAAAAACTCAACAGCTGATCAGCTTGGCATGACCAAAAAGTAGGTGGGAAACTGCAAAGACAGTACAAACAGAGCACTGGGCAATTGTATCCACTCAGTAGACAAAATGATCCACACTTCACAGACTACATCCACTGTCAACATTTGTGGGAGCAAATAAACGTAAGACTTTACCATCATATCGGCTGGGAGAATCACATGCTTTCTGAGGGGTTGCCACTCGCAGGAATATCTGCTGCCTCCACGAATGCCGTCGAGTCTTCACAGGGCTGTCTGCACCACCGGCCTGCTGGCTGTGTTTGGATTCATAGTCACTGAAATCGCGGAACACAAAATGGCTTGTGAGTAGGTTACCAGCGACAGAGGCATCAATTAATACAGTAACACAAACCATCAACTAAGGAGTGCAGTGTGCTGTGCACGTGCTGGGTCAAGCTTTTAGTGTTAGGTGAAGCTTGCTTTGTGGCAGCAGGCTTATACATGCTGCAAACGTCACTTAGGTTCACCAGAAGTGGCTGGCAGCTCTGTGCAATCTGCTTTCTCCAGTTTTAATTAATTTTCAGCTTTCTTTGCAGCAGTACATTAAACATAATGCATTAAAGACACAGAAACCATAATGTATCTTCACCATTCTGCTATTTAAATGCCATCCACAAAATCTAGCAATTCATAGGAAACACAAAGAACTGCTGATGCCTTTTATCAGCACACATTAAGGAGCTTTATAAACACCAAATAAATTTTGAACGTTCTGTGCAGTGGGTATGTAATATATTCCTTCACAACACAGACTTGAAGCAAAACCTTTAACCTTTGTGTTCACAAGTGACCATCTGAAATAAGCAATAAACTTTGGAATAGTGTCCAGGAACCTTGGATGTTACTCCTTCGAAGTGATCCACAAACTACATAGAGGTTTTTATTCAGAATATTAAATAAACTATTCATGGATTATTCCAGCCATTGGCTAAACAGTTGCATGAATCTTTGCTGATGCTGAAAGGGATAAATGAACTCTGTCAGTGGCTAGGAGGAGCATTTTACAGGCCATCTGCTCCTTCCAATCTGAGGACACTGACATTGCTTAGGATGAACCATGTACATTCTCTTTAACTGAAAACTGCTAATACAGTTCTTTGGCAAGAATAATCACAGAAGTACATAGATGGAAGTTTCATGACTATTACAACAACAAAATGGCTAAGTTCTGCAGTCTTAATGGGAGAGGAGTATGGGATAGCTCCACCCTTTTGACAGCAATCACATGCAGAATACATGCAAATGAACTGTAGCACAAATCAGGTTTTGCAAGTGCAAGAAACATCTGAAATATTTCAGACAAAGAAACCTTTGAAAATACAGTTTTACCTCTAGGCTTTAAGAGAGAACCCTACCTTGTGCTCCTAAAGTCAGAGGTGTTATTTTCATCTACAGGAGCCAGAAATTTTAAGAAATTTGGCACAGAAGAGGAAGAATGAAGCTTTTTCCTTAAGGCAGTACGGTAGGAGATGCTGAGAGTGCAGTTGGGAAAAGTATAGTTTAGAACAAAGAAGTATAAATCCACAGAATAAAAATAATACATAATCTAAATTTCACACAAAAGCCAGCTAAATCCTAAAGGCCTAAATATCAAGGAAAACAAAGTCAAAACTGAAACTGCTAACAAAGTGTTACTTTGAAATACATATTTGTTTGGGCAATAAATGCCAATAATAAAAATGTTCCAATATAAATAACTGTGCTTCCAGTAAAGTTATTACTCTTTGCTATATCCCAAGATTTTTAGTGCACATTTCATGTAAATTCCTTTAATCTAATAAGAAATGACACCAACTTTATTATTGCACATTTACTTAAGTATCAGTTTCAACCATTGGCTAAGTTTTGGGGAAAAGGTTAGGAAAAGCTGACACTGATAATAACTGTGCTGGCAAATGAAAAAAGACTTTGGCAAAAAACATTTTGCAAAGCATTAACAGGGTTTTATCCATACAAGCCTGGAACTTATAAGCTAAAAGCTGAGCCTTCTGACTGATCATTTAAGATTCTGGCTCTATGTATGCAACAGACAGAAGCACTAATCAAATTTCATCAACAGTGTTCTGGCCAAGAAAATTCTTTTAAAATGACAAGCCCCCCACATACTGGGAAGAATGTTAATAGAGGGAAGTGAGAACAACTCAGATAATTAAAAGTTTCTGCATAGAATGAAAACATAGAAAATGACTTGCCTCACAATATTAGAAGATCTTTTCTCAGAAGAATACACAAAAAACATGTGAGTAGGAGAATCTACTCCTGAAAAACTAAGTTTAAGAAAGAACAGCTTCTGATAAACCATAATGATATATACGGATGGCATTTTGCACTGTCTCCTGAAGATGTGAATGGGAAGGGGGGACACTCTGGGATAATTACTAGTATAAAGTGAAGCTGTTCTTTAGTAGTTGGTACTGAGCACAAAGAAGATAGGGCTGTACCATGGTGTGCCCTGCAAACCCGTTTCATTTACAATCACATTTTAAATCTATCACAATTACATGGCAATTTCACTTACAGAATACAATCAACTTGGGCAGTTTGACTTTATTGATTTAAACTCATTAACCCATTTGATATCCCTAACAATTTCCATTTTCAGTCTTGTTGCTTAGGTGTTTAATATGGTATACCCTTAAAAGACAGGGAAAGGGAAGGAGAAGTTGTTACTGTGCACACAGAATCATTACCAGATCTACTTGGAAAAAAATCTACTTTTGAGAATTTAACCTTCAGGACTCCAGTAAGTCTTACTAAAATGAAGAGTAAAGAGGACATTAGAGACTCACATTTCCTCCCCTGAGCTATACCATACTTCTGAGGTGAAGCTAAATTAAGAGAGATGCTAGTTAGTACTCAGCAAATACAACTGAAGGAACTGGTGAAACAAGGTTCTCAGCTGAGTATTTTCTCAGCATCAGAAGAATCAGCACCTTGGGGAAACAGCAAACATTCACCCAAGAGAACAAAACCAAACAATAAACAGCAACAGCAATAAAAATGGTTTGCCAGTGGCCAGTGACTGTTGACAGTGCTTCCAATGACATTTGGTCTCATTAGTCTTTTGAACTAAAATAAGCAATTTTAGCTCACAGAATCACAGAATTGCCTAGATTGGAAAAGACCTTTAAGATCCTCAAGTCCAATCATTAACCTAACACCGACAAGTACCCATATAAACCATGTCTCTAAGCACTATGTCTAGATGACTCGTAAATACCTCCAGGGATGAGGACTCCACCACTGCCCTGGGCAACCCCTTCCAACGCCTGATAACCCTTTCAGTAAAGAAATTCTCCTTAATATCCAATCTAAACTTCCCCTGGTGCAACTTGAGGCCATTTCCTCTTGTCCTATCACTTGTTACTTGGGAGAAGAAACAAACATCCACCTCTCTACACCCTCCTTTCAGGTAGTTGTAAAGAGTGATAAGGTCTCCCCTGAGCCTCCTCTTCTCCAGGCTAAACAACTCCAGCTCCCTCAGCCACTCCTCATAAGACATGTGCTCCAGACCCTTCATCAGCTCCGTTGCCCTTCTCTGGACATGATCCAACATCTCCATGTCCTTCTTGTAGTGAGGGGCCCAAAACTGAACACACTACTCGAGGTACGGCCTCACCACTGCCGAGTCCAGGGGTAAGATAATGGTCCTAATGGCCTGGTCTTACTGGCACACTATTCCTGATACAGGCCAGGATGCCCTTGGCCTTCTTGGCCACCTGGGCACACTGCTGACTCATGTTCAGCCAGCTATCAATCAACACCCCCAGGTCCCTCTCTGCCGAGCAGCTCTCCAGCCACTCCTCTCCACACCTGTAGCGCTGCTGGGGGTTGTTGTGACCCAAGTGCTGAACCTGGCATTTGGCCTTATTGAAACTCATACAGTTGGTCCTGGCCCATCAATCTAGTCTGTCTACATCCCTCTGTAGAGCCTCCCTGCTCTTAAGATCAAAACTCACAGCCAGCTTGGTGTCCTCTGCAAACTTAGTGAGGGTACACTTGATCTCCTCATCCAGATCACTGATAAAGATGTTAAACAGGAGTGGCCCCAATACTGACCACAGGGAACACCACTCGTGACTGGTCACCAACTGGATTTAACTCCATTCACCACCACTCTTTGGATATGGCCATCCAGCCAGTTTTTTACCCAGCACAGTATATGCCCATCCAAGCCATGGGCAGCTCAAGGGGTTAAGAAGGGGCTTCACAGTCAAGTTTTTAGGGAGCTACTTGTTTCAGGTTCTCAGGGAAATGATGAGTTAATGTCATTTTCTCAATGTTCTCTCTCTATATTTTTGTTCTAATAAAGGAGGCACAGAAAAGTATCATTTGGTATTGCTCAAAGTAACCAAGACAAATACATGAGCTGGTGGGTTGGGTTTTTCTGTTTGTTTATTCTTGGGTTTTTTTTCTGGGGCGGGGGGAGAGTGAGGGTTGTGGGGTTTTTTTGCTGTTTGTGGCTTTTGGTTGTTTGTGGGATTTTTTGTGTCAGCTTTCCACAGTCCTGCTATTTCTTGCCCCATTTAGTCAACTTAGTCAATTAGCCTTTAATGCTAGCCACAAAGGAATATTAATATGTTTCTGTGTTACCATGGACAAAGCAGAACAGAACTGAATGATTCGGGAGGGACAGAGTGAGCTGGATCACAAGTTCTTGGCAAATCATCCCTCACACAATTTAAGCAGTGCTGCTGTCTGCTGCATAACAAGTTGCTTTGGGGCAACTGGCTCTAAAGAAAGA